CCCCCGGCCCGCTGGACTCGCCGGAGGAGGCCACGCTGACGTGCTGCTCCTGGGACCCGCTGCTCCCCAGGCTGCCGTAGCCACTGGAGGCGCTCCCGTGGACTGGCTGCAAGGACACAGGTCCCATTTGGGGGTTACTATCTTGCGGTCGGGGGGGTAGGGGGGGACGCAGCATGACCCACTCAGAGCTTACCTAAACTCATCAGAAAATAAGACTAATATTTCTGACACCCTAAAGTAGGCTTGCGAGGGTTGATGCTTTGAACCCTATGTCTGACATGAAAGACATTCCCCTCATTTCAGTAATTTTCAAGGGCAAAGTCTAGTTTCTAATCTAAGTGGGTATTTCTGGAACGGAAAATATTGTTTTAAAGCCATAGTATAATTTTCCCAAATATGAAAATCACTTGTTCTTTATGCTGCGCTTAGAGCAGACAGAACAAATGAAATACACACCCCAGTCCCCACGGACTTGACAGGTGCTTTACGGACCGGAGCGTCTCTGAAAGACCTGCCACACCAGCAGCCCATCACAGTTTGTGACGGAATCTCTAATGGAAACCATTTCGGGTATTTGTTTCCAACAAGCAGTTTTTCCTACTTTTGCCTCATAACAACCAGATACTGAGACCGGCCAGGCTCGCCCCACCTTTAAAATGGGAACCATCCCCAAAACCCCGAACCCGAGGCTGAGCCCCTGGGGAGCCTGGGACACAGGAAGAATTCTCTCGCTCAGAAATGACTTCTCTGTCTCACTGCTCACTGTGACACAGTTTCGTTGTCTTAAAATGGGTTTTTACAGAATATTCTGTGCATTTAACATAGAAAAAAAGATTAATAAAGTTTCCTTTAAAAACAAAAAAGAGGAAGACAGAGATTTCTGGAATGCAGAGGGTCAGGATCTTTCTCCGCAGCTTATTTTTGTGAAGTGACTTTACTAGACAGAATATTACAATAAAACACAATTATGGGAATCCTATGTCCATTTTTTAAATCTCCCCCATTTTACCTGTAACAGGAGTTTGTGAATCTGTCCCTGTAATTCCGTTATGTCTTTGTCGTTATTGTCCATCTTGCTTATTCTGGCAGCAAAAACATCCTCGTTCAGCGGACTCCTACAAAACAGCACGTGAAAGACGGGGTCAGGCGATTTAAAATTCACTTACAGCCCGGCCGGCATGGCTCGGTGGTTGAGCATCGACTATGAACCAGGAGGTCACGGTTCGATCCCCACTGTGGGGCGTGCAGGCGGCAGCCAATCAATGAGTCTCTCTCACCATTGATGTTTCTCTCTCTCTCCCCCTCTCCTTTCCACTCTGAAATCAATAAAAACATATTTTTAAAAAATTAAAAAAATAAAATTCATTTACAATGAAGTCTAAAGTGATCTTAAACATTCAAATAATAAATCTATGCTTTTAAAAAGCAGCTCTTTGATCCCAAATATAGAAAATCTGCAGCTGAAATTCTATTCGTGTGGGTAGAGAAAGCACTGATAGATCAATGAGACGGTTCAGGCTTCTCGCGTCCCTAGCTGCAGTCTCTCTCAGCTGCGGTCGCTGTTGGTATAAATCTCGATCAGGACACGGAACCTCCTCAGCTACCGGAACGTATTCACAACTGCTGGCCTCACAATGGAACGTCACCTGCGTAACCTACTGCAGGAATCTTCAGACCCTGAGGCTGCCCAACACTGACTGTTTCAGGTACCTCCTGACTTAAGCTCCGCAGCCAAGATGACTGCGACACCTCCGTGGTGAAGTGTGGCCGTCACACCCTTCGCGTCATCTGTGCTCACGTCCTAGAACATGTTAAATCTTCCACCCGAATACAGCGAGGGGCAGGCAAGCCCACGGGACAGGAAGAGGACTGCCTGGCATGTCACCAGGACCTTCTGAGCGACAGGCACTGTGCTGCTTCCCCACACACAGCAGGAACAAGGAGCCTTCTCCACCCCGTGATGCGCCCGGCACTGTGCCAAGTGCGCTACCCAGTCCCACCTCCTCCGCCAGAGGTGGCCGCTGCGCCAGGTCACCCGGCTGCACGAGCAAGTGTGAACGGCGCCTGCGTCCCAGCATGAGGGTGAGGCCTCATTTCCACGCTTAAAAAGGACATCGAAGGGCACCGATGGCCCAGCCCAGGAACCTGCAGGTCAACTGTAAACGGGCCAAAAAGTCAGGGGACTGGGGGCATCTTAGGCTCCGATACTGGGCCAGGCTGCTCTGGATCTACTTCACCGATTCCGGTAAATGCGCAGGTAACGGTGATCAAACAGGCCTGAGTCAGCCCTGCTGGCAGGAAAGTCAGTACCACAGAGTCTAATTTTTAAAAATAACGATTTAATAAAATAGACACAAGGAAGTGGGATTTGACAGAAGCTGATAGAAAAAGTATTATTTGCTCACTAAGCAGCACTTTAAAATTCTGAAAAGGCAAAAAAAAAAAAAATCTTACCCATAATCCCACTACCCCACACACAACCAAAAAGTCTATTTTATTTCCTTCTAATCTTGTCACATGTCATGGTTAGTGTGTGTTTTGACGTAATTTTAATCATATGGCATAAATAACTTTATATGCTTTTTACATCTAATATGTCAACTTCCCATGTTCTACAATCTCTGTAAAAATTTTTCTTGACCAATATAACATGTCAAGGAGACATTCCAGTTTAGTTAAGGACGGACATTTGAGCTACTCTAAGTCGGCCATTACGATTGTGTTGTAAAACACATCTTTTTTAAAACAGCTTTTCTGTGTTTCGCCACGTTTCCCTGAACGTCCCCAGAAGGGAAGCATCAGGCCGGGAGGGAAATCGCTCGTGGAAACTGCTTGCGGAAAGCACTGGGAGTCCATCCGTCTGTCCGTCCGTCCGCCCGCGTGCTGCCTGATCGAGGGGGGGAAGTGGAGGCAGGAATGTCACCTGGTAAGAGAGTTTCTAGAAAACGAGGAAACTGGTGGACTCACGTCCGCACTTTGTGCCGGCCCATGATGAAGGACACCTTGCGGCTCCACGGGTCCACGAAGCCGGACCAGCTGGAATCCAGGGTGACGTAGTCGCCGTTGTGTGTGCAGAAGCGAACGGGGCGGTGCTCAAAGGGGGCGCGGCCCGCGGCCCGCAGCACTGCACCGGAGGGGACGGGAGAGGAACTTACCCACACGTGACGACAAACGTCACTGTTAGGCAGTTACGGATCAATGTTCGGAACGTCAAAGTAGGAAAAAAATGGTGTGTGAGCAGTTTCCACACGTTGCTCACCAGATTAAGGTAAAGGTTAAGCTCTAGTAAGAAATGAAAAAAAGTTCGATCAAAGATGAAGGAAAGAACCTCCTGCCCAGGCAGCAGCCCTCACCTTCCTGGTGGACGGCGACCATCAGAGAGCGGTCTTCCGGGTGCAGGTTCGCGAGGACGGACGAGCCGATCAGGTCCTGCGGCAGGTACCCCAGCAAAGGCACGGCCCTGGGCAGACGCACAGGCCACCGGTGAGACGCAGTTATACTTTGAAAACACTGCTTTCCTTCATTTTAAACTCGAGTCAACAGGTACATACAGACTACGGGGAACAGTCGCATAACCTAAGAAAGGCTGCCATCTGCATCGAAATCACGCAGGGCACCTGCTCACACAGACTGGCTCGCCGCCGGCCAACAGGGCGGAATGTCGGGGGCGAGACCGGGGATCTGTGTATTTACAAGTTCCTCAGAGGTCCTCGAGGGCCTCCATTCGCTGCCATTTATGTTTACAAACATCGCATCCTAACACAGAAACATGCTCAGGATGTTGAAGGAAGGCAGCGCGCTACGCATGTGTACAGTATGATGACAATCACACAAAACGACACCCGACAAAGGTCGTCCAATGATGCGGGCCCAAGGCTCCCGGAAACGGCTCACGCCCAAGGCGCCACACGACACTCGGGGCGATTGGGAGCGACCCGACTCCACACACATGTTCTCTGTGCACAAGGTCACAAACACTGTCTAAGGCAGTAACATTCAGCTGTTTTCAAAATATCCTGGTTAAATTATCCTGCTTTCTACAGATTACATTATACCAAGTGTCTCACCAATTACTACTTACCTCAGGGTAACTGTAAGGAAATAAGCCCATTTTTAGATGTTAAGATTTTTAAAAATCAACATTCACGTATCGTAACCATGCCAAGTTTTTGACACTTTTGCTTGACACCTCCATGAGGTCTGAGGCTTGTTATCCAGGTTTTGAGATTTCATTTATGAAAAAAATTTAAAATAAACTGGGGGAAAATGGAAGGCACTAATCAGGGGGTAACAATGTTTTATCATTTTTTCAAATAAAGATCTTAAAAAACAACAATAAGCAACTACTATTCATTAACACTGAAAGGGTTATTTTAACATTTAAAGAAGTAGGAAGGACGACCTAAGTTCAAAATAAGTAAATTTAGTTTCATACACACAAAAAAAAATCTGTTCTTTTCTCTCCCCAGCCCCCTTAAAAAAGGAAGTCATGAGCCGGCGGGAAGCAGCTGTGCCGTGGAAATGGCCCTGGAAGAGGCGCGGGGCCGGGGCCCCCCTGTGATTACATCCCACACGCGCCCTGGCACACTGGCCCCAGCTTCACCGTCCTCCAGTGTAAACGGGACAGTAACAACGGACTCACCTAAAGCAGCCGGGGATCAAACATAACTTGTAAAGGTGAGACGTGTCGCAGGCAAGGTATTTATGTTAAACATTTAGACCAAGCATGTCCGCGAGTTTGACATGCTTGATTTAGACAAAAAATAATTTCAATCTAACAAAAATCAAACAGATAATGCGTAGATATCATATATGTAATGTAGGAGCATGTGAGCATACGTAAACCTTTTCACATTTGTATTTATTCCCAGAAACAAATCTCTCTCAGGCTTAAAGAAGTACTTACCGGTCATCTATTTCAAGGAAAACACAGCCTGGAGTGTGTGTTGTGGTGAAAATTCTTTTATCCACGGGGATCCGAGGAGCTAGGAAACAAGCATCTAGTTAATCATCCACTTCACGGGAAACGGTGAAATCTCACGTACGGCCTGGCCTCGGAGCAGCCAGAGCGGCATCAGATGGTAATGATTTTCATTATTACTTACATTTTTTTCTCTCTTTTAAAAATAATTTTTAAATTGATTTTAGAGGAAGGGAGAGAGGGAGGGGAGAGGGCAACATCAATGGGGGAGAGAAACACTGATCAGGTGCCTCCCACATGCACCCTGACTGTGGAACAAACCCGAACCCTGGGTATCGAACCTGCCACCTTTCAGTGCGCGGGACAATGCTCCCACCAGCTGAGCCACACCAGCCAGGGCATCATCTACATTTTAATCAGGTCAAATGCCACGCCTACCAAAGTTAACTTTAGACAGAGGAAGTCTGTGTGCACGGACCAGCTTGCTCATTGCAGATCATCTACTGGTCAAGCTGGAGCACCTTAGGGTGCAGGAGCAAGCAGCTCAGCACACAGGACTGGACAGCCCAGAGGACAGGGGCGTGTAAATCTGTGTAATAAAGCCGGTACGGTCAGGTCAGCCAAGGCTGCCTTGAAAACGTAGTGGTTAACACATTAGGGAACCATGTGAGCATAATGCTAACTCTGCATTTGCTTATGCATGATTTCATTTGCAAAAAAACAGGAGGTGAATGCAGGAAACATCTAACTGAATGGAGTCACTTGGGACTGCACACACCTCACACACCCACCGCTTCCTCCACGCACTCGTGTTACGGGACACGCCTGTCAGTCTGACGTCAGAACTTCAGACAACCCTCCTCCACCCTCACATCACCCCCGGGGCCCCGCCCACCAGCAAACTGGGGCTTCCCACGGTGAGGAGCCCGATGCGCTGTATGTACTGTTGGTGGATTCCTCTTCTTTCCACATTTAAACATTTTTATTTTCAATTACAGCTGACACTCAGTATTACTTCATATTAGTCCCAGGTATACAGCACAGTGGCTAGACAATTATAATTTATGAAGTGATTGCCCCAACAATTCTAGTACGTTTTACTATATTCTCCAAGCTATACTTTACATACTTTGTATTTTGTAACTGCCCATCGGTACTTCTTAATCCCTTCACCTTTCCACCCAGTTTCCTCAA